GGCTCAGACTGATTGTCCAATTGTGTGCAGGGAGAAGTGAGGGCATGAGGGGTAGACAGCAGGAACCCGAGGTCACATCACTGTGTCCCTCGGGGATTCTGTGCATACCACCATGGTTTCTGAGCGTAAGGAGCCCAGTGGTTCTCATGCCTGCCTTCTGTCAGGTGATTTATAGAACGGAGGCCCCATTTCACACATAAGGAAGGGGTAAGAGACATGGTAGGCACGTTCAGGAACCGAACAGGACCCACCCATGCTGGAATCACTCAGAGACACTTACAGCTAAAAGGACCTAAGAGATCAGCTGTGATTCTAACTTTCTTCTTCCCAGACGAAGAAGTCAAAAAACTGAGATTAAGGGATTTGTTCAAGGCTACACAGTTGATCAACAGGAGAGCCCCTTTGTAAAGCAGTAGAGTCAGAAATATCAAAATGTGACAGTGTCTCCTTGCCTGGCTCATATCTACTCTGTAAATTCCTGTTCTGCTGCTGCATTTAGCCCCCTACCCTGTTGCCCACCAGGAAAGCCATGAGCTAAAAGGACTTTGTGCTCTAGAGCCTATAGGGAGGGATTTATTCTTCTGGGCCATGCTGATTTATTTTGCGTTTTTGTCCCAGACCGGTGTCATTGCTGACTTCCACAGCCCTATGCAGCTTCTTGTTTGCTGTCATTCTCCTTTTGTCATTGGTTCCTGAGAATAGGGCCCAGAGATAGTTACTTCCCCTATACTTGTTTTCCTTACCCCATTTTTTGTGGTTCTGGAGCTTTCCACGGATGAGAAGGGATGGTACCCAAAAGTCAATGAGGATGAAGATTGGAGCAGACCCTTCCTGAGCTAGACTCACTGGCCAGGTAGAAAACTCTGAAGGAAAACTAAAGGACCGGAGTAGGCTCTGCCACAGGTCTAGCCCTTCTTTGCATGACTCTATCTCGCCACCTTGTGTTCAAATGGGTTCTCTGCAGTGTAAACATGTATCTTCTGGACATTTTTTAAGAGCGCAATCTAAGTAGGAAGGTTGAGAGCCAACAGAAAGGTTCCACTGCCATTGCCCATCTTCCTATTTGGAAGTTATAAAATCTTGACTTTTAGCCTAGCTTTCTTCTAAGTTCTTCATTCTTCAAAAGCAAATAACAAAAAGCCATCTGGAAATAGTTTTCATTTAATCTGTCACAGGTCCACTAATATCATTAGATGTAAATCAACCCACTCATTTATAGATAGTGTCAGGAGGAAAGGATTGCATGTGTGTCAGTGCAGTGACATTGACTTTCGTATTATCAGATGATACACCAGCAACCTAACCCGGGAGTCCACTACGAGTATGTTATCATGGGAACCAACGCCATCAGCCCACAGGTGCCGCCTCACAGGAGACCAGGTAAAGTCCCTGGTTTTGCTGCCAAGCACTTGAGTCATTTCCTTTTAAAGCCCCTTCTCTCTTCTTGTGCAGCTACCCTCTATGTCTTAATCAACACAGAGAAAACCCAGAGACACATATTTCAGAGTTGGTGGCCCAGATATTAGACGATGCTTCGCCATTAGTCGGAGCCTTCATCGATAGGAGTGTTTCATTCACTTGACTCAAAAATGAAGTGAACAAACATCCTGGGTCTTTCTTTCCAGTTCGTCCTTTTGAAATGCCTTATATTAGTTTTGTATTGCTGCCATAACAAATTACCTCAAGCTTAGTGGCCTAAAACAACACAGATTTACTGTTTTGTAGTTCTAGAGGTCAGAAGTCCAAAATGGATTTTGCTGGGCCGAAACCAAGGTGTCACTGGGCCATGCTCCCGCCAGAGGCTCTAGGAGAAAATCTGTTTCTTTGCCTTTTTTTAAGAGCCCACTTGCATTCCTTGGTTCACAGCCCTTTTCCTCACCTTCAGAGCCAGTCGAATAACACTTTCAAATCTCTCTCTGACTCTCACCCTCCTGCCTCTTTCTCCTAAGGACTCTTAATTGCACCCATCCAGACAATCCAGGATAATCTCTCCATCTCGAAATCTTTAATTTAATCACATCTGTAAAGTCCCTTTTGCTACATGAGGGAACATATCCCAGGTTCCAGGAATTAGGACACAGACATCTTCTGAGGGCCATGATTCCGTCTGCCAGTACCCTTTCTCTTGGTCTCCTGTTGCTTCTCTTCACACTGCTTCGACCTATATATAGGAAAAGGATACTGAGTTCACACCTAGCCATCTGCCTCTTCCCTGTGGGCTCTGCCGATGGACAGAACAGGCAGCTTTCACTTAGCTGCTGCTGGATATGGCACAGACATTTCCTTAACATGTGATGATGGACCCACCGCTCAAATGGAGACTGCCTTTTTTACCTCTCAAAGAGGAAAGTCTGCAGAAATGTTAACGATGAAAGTCGCTTGTGTGCACTGAGTCCTTGCTGTGTGCCGGACACTGCTGAGCCCCTCACACAGATTAGCTCATCGAATTCTCACTGGATTGCTCAGAGGAAGGTGCTATTATCAGGCTCATATTAAGAATAAGGAAATGGAAGCTTAGAGAGATTAGGTTACTTGCCCAGGTCCCATAGTGACCTCAGGCCAGCCAGTGTGACTGTCCCTGTGCTTGTTATACTGCCCAGAGGCTGCCTGCCTGGTCCAGTGCCTGTCCTAGGAAGCAAGGGGACAGATGTGACACCTAGCTTGTCCCTCCTTCTCTAGGCTGCCGATAAGATAGTTATCTGATCATCACAGGTCAGGGATGAGCTATCTGGCTGCCTGGAAAAAACAGTCTAGTGTGTGCCCAGCACATGGGGTGTATATATGTTATCCAAACTTCAAGCCAGCACACCCAGCTCGACAGAATTTTTAAGCCATTTCAAGGAGCAACACACAATCTGAGAACCGAGTTCATATGGCAAACTACTGAGGTTACTGCAGTCTGATGCTGATTTATAAGGGTTATTAGACAGACTATTTGAAATCACATTAGGATGACGATGATTGAAACAAGTCTGATGGGTCTCACCTAACAGGTAGCATGGGGTTCCGGGATCGGCTGCCTAGGACAGGGCAGGCCCGAAAGGGGTCAGTTGTAAAAAGTTGGTGACAAGGGGCATTCTGCTCCAGGCTTCATCCTCTGTGTCAACAGAGTCAGGAGGCCAGAGCCTGAATCCAGATCTGCCACTTTCTTGCTGTGCAGCCTCAGGCAAGTCAGTAACTTCTCTGAACACATCGCAATCTACAAAATAGATTGGGAAAGAAACTACATCCAAATTTTTTGATTTGTTTTGTTTTGGGAAAGCCGAAGCAAAGGAGGAGATTAAATAACTTAGCTGTCAATCCTAGTGCCCAGTGCATACAAAGTACTCAAAAGATTTAAAAATGTTTTTGGCCAATAACATCTTGGACAGTCCCATTTGTATCAATAGGCCTGGTCTTTATCGGTTTAATTTGCATGTAATATTTTAAACCACAAATTATTGTAAGTAGCCAACTAAATAAGAAAGTACTGGTGAAGGGGTAGAGAAAGCCCTAAGCTTTAACTGGATTCTACAGTAACTCTAGAATTTGCCTCCTTATTTTGTATTTAATATGTGCTTGAACCTTATTCAATCAAAATAAAAGTATGTCAAGTAAAATGTACCTGCTCCATAACTGCCAAAACTTGGAAGCAACCAAGATAACTTTCAGTAGGTGAATTTGGATAAATAAACTGTGGTACATCCAGATGATGGAATATTATTCAGCACTGAAAAGAAATGAGATAAAAAGTCATGAAAAGACATGGAGAGAACTTATATGTTACTAAGTGAAAGAAGCCAATATGAAAAGGCTACATACTGTATGATTGCAACTACATGATACTCTGGAAAAGACGAAACTATGGAGACAGTAAAGATCAGTGGTGTCCGGGGGTAGGGGAGAGGGAGGGATAAAGAGGTGGAGCACAGAGGGTTTTTAGGGCAGCAACGCTCTTCTGTATGATACTGTTATGGTTGACACGTGTCATTATATAGTGTCCAAATCTGTAGAATGTACACCACCAAGAGGGAACCTAAGGTAAACTGTGGGCTTTGGGTGATAATAATGTGTCAGCGTAGGTTCATTAATTGTAACAATGTACTGTTTGGTGGAGGCTGTGCATGTGTGGGGGCAGTGGAGACAAGGGAACTCTCTATACTTTCCACTTAATTTTTCTGTGAACCTAAAACTGCTCTTAAAAAAAAAAGGGGGGGATCTTCCCCAACCTCTTCCCCATCTTTTTTCTCCCTTACCAGAGGGAATCTTTCTTAACATTTAATGAGATTCTGCCCAGCCCTTTTCTATGTATATACAAAGGTGTTTGCAGCCAATTTGAATCTTTGTCTATAATCTAAGTGTATGAGGAGCATCACAAGTAATTGTTTTCTATAAGTCAATGTAAATCGAACCTCAACATGGAACTTCTCTGAAACTGGTAGAAATTCAATCTCAGTCTATATGCACCACCACCACCACCACCACCACCACCACCACCCGCCCCCCCTCCCCCCCACACACACACGTACTGCAGGACACACACACACACACACACACACACACACACACAAACACTCACACTGAGCCCCAAGCTCCAGTGTCCGTTGCGCTGAGGGGCTGGCAGAGGCCACGTACCCGAGTAAAGCCACAGAGGCGTT